CGCACTTCACCTTTAACACCAAGTCAAACCACATCGATGGTAAAACAGGATGATGGCTTGAGAGTGGCTTTTTGTAAACTTTAAAGCTGAAGATGATGTTGAATAACAACAAATAGCAGCGAGAATACACTATTAAATTTAGTGTGAGTCTTGGTCCTCTACCCCCAGAATTTCAGGGTAGAGTAAGAACTATGTGTCCACTTGGAATCACTCTGTTTGGGCCATTTAATTTAGATGCATTACTTTAATGTAAGTGCTTTGACTTTGGCTGTCAGCATAGCATTTTAATTAGCACTTGGAACACAGCAGAAGAGGTTGACGAGGGACAAGACATGAAGGAATGCGCTCGCCATGGCCTGCCTGAGGGCTCGGGCAGCGTCCAAGAAAGATGCTTTCAGCATCACACTCGGTACTTCTGAGAAATGTCTTCACCGGCACTTCTGCTCCTGTACCTGTAATCACTTCGGGGTTTTGAAAGTCAGAACATTGGCTTTAGCAGCTTCATCATCGCTACGATGCTCAGAGAGAATATTAATTTCCAAGCTTATTCTGATGTGCGAGAGAATTCAAAGTCATTCTCTACATCTGCCCTGCATTTGCTTCCCAGCTTTGCCAGGCAAGCTCTCACTCATCCTTTAAACCCCAGTTCTAATCACCCTCCACCCTGACCCCTGACCCCGCATGGTCATCCCTCACCTTCCTCTCCCTGTTGGCCCTTCTCCCTTCTGTATGTGCCCATTCTCCGTGCATCTCCAGCTGAAGGACTGTTGTAGATGACTCTGCCTCGTTTTAGGAATTGTATCTCGACCTCTTGTGGCTAAGGGCGAGGGATGACCTTTGGAATGCCAGCCACAGGAGACAAAGCCTGTGTCTGGTAGCGAACGCTGCCTCAGTTCCTCTCCCTGCCCCCAAAGCTTGGTCGCAAGTCAATGACGGGTAAGACCCCTCATAACAGGGGGCAACCTAAGCCAGACTCAATCACCTGGGAGGCCTTCATGGAAGGACTTGGGGGGCTGCAACAAAGAGCAATGGACTCTTGTCCCCCAGCTTTGTCAAAGCCTGAGTCCCCATGTTCTCTGGGAGAAGTGCTTCCTGGCTCTAATCCCCTTAAGCCTGAATACCTGATGGGGAGGGGTGTAGCTCCTTGTCTTGCTAGAGCATGTCCTGGGGAAAAATCTGGCACCACAAAGACTTGCTGATAAACCTGTGAAATCTGCTCTGCTAAGAGTGCTTTCATTCATATGATAAGGGTCTGAGAGGAAATGAGTGAGTCTCCCAAAGTTTCTGCAACTCTCTTCCTGACAGTCACTGACTCAGACTCTGAAGCCCTCAGATCTCTTTGAAATGTTATCTACTGTTTGATCCTTGCCTCCCTGTACTCCTGTGTATTACAACCCAATAAAAGGCTATGGAGGAGGGCCCTCAGGGCCTTTTTCTCCTCGGAGGAACTGGCCGCTGCTGGCCTTTGTCTCCCCTCAGAGACTGGCCACAGCCCACTCCTCCTCCCCAAACAGATCCAGCATGTCTTGGTCACACTCATTCACTTGTGTCCGTGGCACCGGGGGGACTCAGGAGGAAGTCGCCCCCACAAAGGACCACACTGTGTTATAATGACTGAATTCTTTCCCATGGACTCTCAATGCCACATTTGTAGAAACCGAGTCTCCATATCTGTGTTTGGGTTGCATCCAGTTGAAAGGCATGACTGCATGGTGGGGTAGAAAAAACGTGCACTTTATAGTTAAACTATTATGGATTAAATCCTAACCTACCTGGTGTGGGAACTTGGGCAAGTTACTTCACTCCTTTGAGCTTCTTTAAACAAAGCTTGTCATGCTGGCCATGAAGGATTGTTGCGCAGATTAAATGCGATCTGTCAGTCAGTGTAACAAAAGCACAGATGGATCCTATTCCACGTGAGGCACAGTGCTGGGTACTGAGAATGTCGTGGTGCGTAAGGCATGATCCTGCCCTGAGAACTTTATAATTTAGTGGGAAAGACAGAGAGGAAAACAGAACGTGCAGAATGAGTCTCGAAGGACACACAGGCACTCACTAGCACCGGTTCTAGGGGTGAGGGTGAAGGCGGAGGATCTGCAGTAGAAGTGTGTGCAATGCCTTTGACCCGGGGGGAGGATAGTAAGTCAAGCTGCAGAGAGAGGAATAGTGTAGCAGTGGCCATGGGTTTGAGGCTGGACACGTAAATGCCACAGGGAACCCAGAAAGAATGTGTGATCGGTTTGCTTTTCCTTGGCAGCGTGCAGAGTGGTCTGAGATAGGAAGTCAGCAGGGCCAGTTCAGAGGATGTTGCCTAGATACGGTGATGTCCACCCGGCCCACCCCCACCGTGGTAGGAGTTGCAATGGTAATGGAATGATGAGAATATATTTAGGAGCCAGAAAAGGCACGGTTTGCTCAGATATGGAGGTGAGGGAAAGGTGGTAAGGAAGGGGGAGGCGTCAGGAAGAGGAAACACAAGACAAACAAGTGGTTTGGGGTGCAGTGGGGAATGGAACCGGAGTCCAGTGGGGAAACCGCGGGGTGTGAAGTGCCCAAGGGCAGGGCAGGACGTCTGGCCTTCATCATTTTGAACTCTTGAATACAGGGTGGGGCCAAAGTAGGTGTACAGTTGTTCATATGGAAAATAATACGATAAACAGTAATACAAGAATAAACTCTGTTTCACGTACTCACAACTGTAAACCTACCTTTGCCCCACCCTGTATTCGCCCCTGCTGGGTTTTTTTCCGAATGTAATCATTACCGTAAGGATGATATCAATCAACACTGATGAGTTTTGTGGCAAAGATTTACTTTGGGGTGAACTCCATTAGGGCAATTTAATTCCCTGACCCATTTTTTGTACGACATATTTAAACTGGTTCCAACTGTTTTTGCTTTATTTTTATTTTACCAACATTATTTTCATCAGGATAAAATCTCTTTAGTGCAGATTCTACAATAAAGGCTCAACTTTTCCACTTAGTTTTCTTTATCTCTATTAAATATTTACAGATACTTCTGTAAATTAGCTTCTTCCATGCTAAGTTTTCTTTTAGGCCCAGTATTCTTGCCGTGGCAAACTGACTGTGTCAAGCTTTGCACGTATAAACCTTTATCACATTTTTGTTTTTTCATCAATTTGTAAGAAATAATACTTTGACCACTTGCTGTCTTTGCTGTTGCCAGCTGTAGTTTACATTTTTAAAAAATCAAGACTGATTTTTTTCCTGAAGCAATTTTTGCAGTTTTTAAATTTACTAATGATATGTGATTCTCAAGTCAACTTTTGATTTCCAACAAGTTTGACTATGTAGCATTTTGGCCCTCCAACTGACGGCCTCAAGACGGCATCGATGGCCCGTCGACGGCCACGGGGAGGTGTCTGGGAGATGGGACCGTGTACAGGTCCGGTGATTTGGAGAGAAGTCTGGGGTCGGATGGAGGTCTGGGAGTCACTTGCAGCTGGACGTGGAGGCCAAGGGAATGGGTGGCATCCCAGGAGCCGGTGGAGAGCCTGAGAGAAGAACACCTAAAAACTAGAAGAAGCTCTAACGTTCTGGGAAGAAACGGCCAGAGGAAGAGGAATAAGAGGAGGGGGGATGAAGAGGAGGAGTGCCCCCCACAAGGAGAGGCAGGAGGTAGGAAGGAACCCGCAGGGGGCATCATGGTGGACTCAGGTCCAGGCAGAGGGGTGGTCGGTGAGCACGGATGCTGCAGAGGACGCGCAGGGTCCGCCCAGAGACAAGTCCTTTAGATGTAGTGGCCCTGACACCATGACACCACGACAGCCACCCCCGCATGCAGAAAGACACCCAGTTGGGAGTACTCAGGAGAGAGAAGGGCGGGAGCGGGGACATTTGTAGAGCAGACACTGGCTGTAGGAAGGGGCGTGTGTTTATCTGTGGGCCGGTTTACCTCCTTAGAACAGCAGAGAGACTGGAGTGTGCGTACCTGCCAGTGGTTTGGAGGGAGAGGATGAACACACAGGAGGGTTGGAATGGGACCCCAAAAAGCACATGAGGGCCACAGAACTTTCCAGGGGGTGGGAGCCAGCAGCTTCACACCCTGGGAGTCATCAGCTGCCATGCGCCCCGGGACACAACCATCGTTAATCGGCCAGTCCAGTTGGGCCTCCAGCGTCCCAGATAATCCTCTGATTCCTTATTGGACTCAGAGCTCTACCCTGAACTACTGCTATTTACCTAATGCCTTTTTTGGAATGATTGTTTTTTAACTTAATGCTTTAAGTCCTCAGTCAAGGGATTCTATCCATTATCCCTCAGCCCACATTACTATCGTGCGTGTGACGCCTGATGCCTGAGAACGTCCTGAGCCGCAAGGTGCACAGGGACGTCAGATGGGCTCTGTCCGGCGCCTCGCGCTTCTGCGGGGAGCGGGGGCTGCGCGCTGTTAGCTCCTCTGATTAGATCCCTCACTGTCCTTTCACTGTTCATATTTTTTAAACTTCTTTTTCTTAGATAAGTCCCTTTAACATTTCATATAATAAGGGCTTGGTGATGATGAACTCCTTGACACAGTTATTAACAACCACACCTAAAACGAAAGCAAACTAAAAGGACAGCTAGATCAGGAGTGGAAACATAGAAATGAAGATCTCAAGGAGGGTTAGCAACAGGGGAGTGGGAGGAGGAGAAGGGGGGAGAAGGTACAGAAAATAAGTAGCATAGACAGTAGATAGAAAATAGGGGGGGCAAGAATAGCATGGGAAATATAGAATCTAAAGAACTTGAGACACATGGTCATAAACTAAAGGGGGGGTAATGGTGGGGATGGGGGTAGGGTGGAGGGGAATGAAGGGGGGAATAGAACAACTGTAATGGCATAATCAATAATAAAATAAATTTAAAAAATCATTAGATCCCTCGCTCACTCGTCAGATTGAAATAATAACAGAACTCTGCTGTGACCCCACCCATCTCCTGCCCCTCCCACCTGTCCCGCGGCTGCATGAGTTACCGAAAACTCGGGGTGCTCACCAGTAACGGGACAATGGCCAGCACACCCATCTGATGGCCAGCTGGCCACCACTCTGTTCCCTGTTGGGCGTGACGTGGAACCTGAAGACACGCTGTCCCGGCCCTGGTGGTGGAGCGCCCGCCCCCGGGCGAGTTTGCTGTCGCAGTGCGAGTGAAAGGCGGGCGAGGTTCGGAACCAGTTTGTCCAGGCAAGCTGGGATTGGTGCACGGCCTTAGGTGTTTTATCTAGAACAGCCCAGTGAGGCCAGCTGGACGTAGGAAACACACTCTGTTTATCCTAATGCTTATCACCTGCCAGTTCACACTGCTCCAAAGGTTAACTTCGTTTTATGACGCTGGTTAGGTTCCAGGCCTGGGATCACCTTAAAACTCGCCTCCTTAGGTAGCAAGCAAGATGAGCCACTGAATCTCCAGGGCATTGAAGAAGGGGCATTCTCTCTAGACCCCTTCCTATTTTTAGCTGGCATCACCTTCCACCCATTCCTGTTCTGGTTCCCTTTTTTTCTCCCTTCAGGACAAAGTGCTGGACTATTCTGTTGGCCTCTCTTGAGCCCGGCCTACCTCTTTGACCTCTGTGGAATTTCGTCCTGGGCACATGAACAAAATAAAGGCTGGCCGATCCGCGGTGACCAGGCCAGTTCTCGGGGCCTTGGCCTCCGCTCCGCTCTTTCCTGACCCCACCACATGCTGGGCCCCAGTGCTGGCTCCCAGTGCGGGCGGACAGGTCATTTTGATTTTTGAGTATTGGTAACATTTATGAGATTCCAATGTCCAGAGATGCTTTGGTTTTGTTTCCCCGCATCAAGCCGCTGTTCCCCTTGGGGTCTGAGTGTGTCTAATCACACTGAGACAGAATCGGGGGTCAATGTCTTCCCCCAAATGGAAGTGTGCTGTGAACACTACACCAAAGTGACCTATGAACCAATTTTGTTCCGACTTTAGACTCCCTTCAGTGCAGGCTGTTGGGGAAGGGAGGGGCAGGAGAGCCTCCCTCCTTCCGGGGACTCTCTCTCTCTCTCTCCCCCTGCTGCCCCAACACGTGTCACAGTTCCTGGCCCCTGTCCCCTGCCAAAGAGTGGGTGGGAGCTTTTCTGGTCTTCGTTTGCAGCTCACAGCCCTGGGGCCGGCTGTTTCCCTGCCTCGTACCCCTGTACCTCTGTGAGCACAGGATCGAGGCCAGGCGGTCTTGGCAGGTCCCGGCCATGCAGCCATTCCCAGCACGAGTCTTCTCTCTGTGGGGCGTGAGAGCTGGGTCTGCTCATTCTCAGGAACCGGGGGCCCTTTCCTGCCTAGGGTGGGCTGGGGGTGGGGCGGTGAGTGTTGGACAGACAGCTGCCCTGCTCCACCCTCACATCCGTTCCCCAGGTCCCTGGACACACAGGCGCCTCCATGCCCCAAACGAGACACAATTTAGGATCTGAGCGGAATCCTGCCATACAAGCAAAAGCACTATTAGAGAAGAGGGTTTCTCCTAAATATTTAGAAAACATACTTCTAACTTCAAAAAGTACTACTGGCGAATGACAGGCCTGGATGGAGAGACTCCAGGAGGGTTTTGCAAGCTGCTGGAGGACGGGTGTTTGACTCTGTCCATGGGCCATCGACAGTCCTGTGCTGCAAAGGGCTCTGCATTTTGTCTAAAGTCTTGCTTCCTCTGGTCTGCAGTGGAAACTCCTGTCTCTGAAGACATTTTCTAGGCACCTGAGGAAGATCTTCCAAGAGTAGGTCACGCAGGGTGGAAGGGCTCAGCAGGTCGGTAGACCCTAAGCACTGTGGCTACTGCACTGTTTTGTGTGTTTGCGTGATCGAGGTCTGTAGATTCGGAAGCTCTTTCAACAGTTCCTGAGGATGCTTTCTGGCAAGTCTGTAATTATTAGTTCCTTTTGTTCTTCCTTTTAGGAGTCTGGTGCAGAAGAAGTGAATAAACAGTAATTGAGAAGGTGCATTTCTTTGGGTTCTGGTGAAAGTCAGACAGGATCTGGTCTTAATGCTATTGACCTGTGGGAATGATCTGTTAGACCACCTGTGAAACAGCAATAATATTATTAAGAGATGGTATCAGAAAAGTAATCTTCTAAGCAGAGATATGGCGATTTAAGTTATATGTGTGTGTTTATGTCTATAGTGAGTTGAGTGTTATACAAACCTAGTTCTATGTGCGCAGTAGGTGCCTGGTAGAATGGAAGTTTTTATGTAGAGGTGAACACAGGAAGTCATACTGGAGCATCAGCCTTCACACGAATTTAAGAATTTAAGTATGTCTTGACTTTGGAACATGGTATACAATTAGCTTTTCTTACTTCATCCTGCAATTTAGCGAAGACTTCTGAGTTTGCAGCAGTTTGGGGAGGAAATGAACATATTTTCATAAAGATCGTAAAAGCCGTCTGAGAGGGAAGGCAGTCATGCATCAACTGTTTCCACCAAGAGTGAACATGAGGAAAACCTGCCACCTCGCGGTGGCCCCGATCGAGGTGTGGTGACAGACGAGGAGACTAAGTTTCCCCAAAGCAGAGAGTTGAGTCTGGCAGGGATTTGAGCTCCACACAATGGCCCAAGTTAGAATGAGACCGTGAGCCCAGGTTCGGGGGCTACGCCGGTGGGAGGAGCCAGGAGACCAGGGGTCCTGTGTGCTGTGATAAAGAGCTTCGACATCCCGTGGTGGCTTTAGGGTCACAGAAGGATTTTAAATAAGACAATGGTTTGGCTTTTGCATTAGATAGTTCATTCCAGTGACCGATGTGGAAGACGTCTTTACGACGAAGAAGAATAGACTTGGGAGGCTGTGGACATGTCCCAGGAGAGACCGATGGGCCTGGATGAGCCAGCGAGAGAAGGAAAAGATTCAAGCAGCAGAAGGTAAAGTTGTTGTGACTCAGTAATTGATTGGCTCAGGGGGAAAACTACCTAATTTGTTTTATATTTGTGCTGTTTATTACTATTATAAATAGTGGGGGTTGGAAGAAGTGGCCAACTGCTCCCGTCCGGATTCCACTTGTTTCAGCTGTTGGTCTCTGAAAAGAAAATGATGAAAATGGGTCTTTGATTGGCTTCACCTACTTTCATGGTGACTGTGGTTCTCCTTCCCAGTTTATTGAGTGGAGTCATTGTTTTAATTTGCATAAGTGGCTTTGGATATGCAAAGATCCAATAATGATAAAAGCTAGATATCAATTAATATAGGAGAACAATTATTTGGATGTGGCCATGGCAGTAAAGAGAACAAACATCTGACTTGAGCGTCTGCCAACATTTCCATTGAGTTAACTCCGGCTGCCAAAGACTGATGGGAAGAAAACAAGGGAAAGAAGAAGTATAGACGGCCTTAGCCAAATGGCACCTCTGCGGGTTAGAAGAATGGAGAGCGTGTCATTTTTTTAAACCAAAATATTTAAAAATTGAAAACCAACACATTTTCTTATTGTTGCAAAACAACACCAACAGCATTCACGTAAAACAATAAAATGCTGTCACTGGTAAAATGAACAAGCACCCACCGCCATCCCAACCTCCAAGTGGCCAGGGTGCAGGGGTAACCACCGTTCACAGGTGGGTGGGGGCCCTTCCAGGTTGAGGGTGTCCTTCAAGAGGTTGTGTTCACTTTACAGAATCTATGACAGCACACATTTCTTCAAGGTGGCCTCTGACCTGCTTCCCGATCTGATGGAATTCACGATTCAGCTCAGAGCTCGGCGGTTGGCGGAGATGCCATCATGGGGGGACATTCGGCAACGGGAACCAGAGAGACAGGACAAGAAGCCGGGAGAAGAGGGTCAAGCGAAGGTTGGATACGAAAGACAGATGCCGGACACGAAAACAGGGCAGGTTTGGGAATGAAGGCATGGAAGTCCACCTTCTCTGCTTTCTCTCTTCGATCCTAAGCACTCGGAGTCCTTGCTGCTGACTTGCACCACCCTGCCTTCACCTAAATTGTCCTGAGATGGTCACCATGGGACCATTTGGTCACCACATTTGATGGCCTTCCCTCTGCTTTTTACCTTCTTTAACCTTGACCTCTGTTTGATGTTGCCTATAGTGGGTTCCTTTGTGACTCTTCCCTTTCCTTGGCTTCCATGACAATACCTTGTTCCAGTTCTTAAACATCCCCGGTCGCCTGCTCCTGCCCTGATTTCTCTCTGCACTTCTCCTCTCCCAGTCCTTGAACTGTGGGCAATGCCTCCAACCCTGTCCTTTTCCTGCCCCTCTTTCCTCTGCATTATTTCTTAGACCTTTGATTCATGTCTGTGACATCGACAGTGATCTCCATGAGGGAGACTCTGAAATATTATGGACGGGTACAGAAATAAGGGTACAGTTCTGGCCTCGACCGTCCCTAAAGTTCTGACCTTTCACTTTCTGTTATCCTCTAGACGTGGGCCATTTGCATTTCAAGCTCAGCATTTCTGAAACTGAACTTGTCGGCTTTCCGTCTGGCATCCTCCTTTGCATGGCCTACAGGGGCCTTCCCGATCTCTCCCTGCTGCCACCCACAGCGTCCTCCTTCCCGGCCACCCAGCCTCACTCTGCTGCATGGCCACGTCACGCCCTCACGAGCCTCCGTGCCCTTCACTGCGTTCCCCTACCTGAGACCCCCCCTCTCCTGGGCCTGGACGTTCTATGTTCTGCCTGACGACCCTTTTTAACCCTCAAAACCCCCCTCAGATGTCATCTACTGCAGGAAGACTTTGGGGAACTCCTGGAGGCGGTGTCTCCTGGGTCTCCTTATGCCCCCTCCTCCTGCACCTTCCCTGAAACTTCTGCTATAGAACTTACTGCAGCGTATTTGGTTGTTTCCTTGCTTGTATGTCAACTAAACCGTGAGCCCTTTGGAGGGAAGGACCGTGTCTTTGGTCTCTGTATCTCTGGGTTCCAGAAAATGTTTCAGATGCAGTGAGTACTTGATGAAGACTGGGTGAGTCCAAGAACCACCTCCTCCCTCCTGGCTCCTCTGTGTTTGCTGATGGGAAAGCCTTGTCAATTCTTATCTCTAACCGGAATTTCCTCCTTCACTCCAGAATCCTCTGCAACATCTCCAGTTGGAGTGACCAGCAGGTTTATCCGAGATAGGACCGGAGAGGGTAGGAAAGCAGAGAAGGTGGGCCTCCACGCCTTCGTTCCCAAGCTTGCCCTGT